CCTCTTGCTATGTGGCTGACAGGCAACGTGATGGCTTTATAATATAAGAACCATTTAGTGTTTTTATTATTCAACTTATGTGGCTGAAACTTAATTTTCATGTCATGAAATTTAAATTCTACAATGCTTTTAAAATGTGTGACATGTGCGTAAAGGCTAAAAATAGGTCCTTTTAGCTGGTTACTAGGTTGTTCTTAGGAAACATGATGACATAACATCTGATGCAGATAAGAACCTTCAGGGTGCTATAGCGTACCAAGTTTGGTAGTGCAACTCCACATCGTGTAAGAGGAGTTCATGGACAAATAAGGCCTGTGTGTTTGCATCTACCTGTGGACAGCTGTGGCTTAGCAGGTAGGGTGGGTTGTCTGCTAGTTAGGTCATTGGTTCAAACCCACCAGGCTGTGTGTTAAAGTGTTCTTGAATAGCAGAACTCTGTGTAACAAAATGCAATCGGCTTGTTAAAAAGTTTTTAGACTAGAAAACACAGGTAAAGTTTGGCCACACAGGTTTTGCACCACATGACATTCCTAACAACCTTCCTAACTAGCTAGTTAGGAATGTCATGTATCCTACCGGTCTTGAACTGGGGCTCTTTGCATGCAAGGCAACTATTTTAACCACTACACCAGGGGAAAGCCCTGCACGTACCCTAATACAATAAGAATTCACACTAGTGACTGAAATTCAGAACACTGATGACTATCATCACAGTGAGTATTAGACTTGTATGCAGTAGAGGTGGGCGGATCGATCCAAATATCGATAGTATCGATACCAACACTAAAACCAAGTTTCAAAACACATGAAAAACTGAAAGGTGTTTTTTGCTGTGTTAACTAATTATTGTGGAAAGTAATAATCACAGTGACATAGTGGTGATTAAAATGTGTTCAGAATTTGAAACTTGAGAATTCATCTCATAAGTCATGGCACGCTACTCTCCCCCAGTTAGCTGCCTGAGTAACTTATAATTATTGGTACTGATATCGGCAATACTGGCCCTGTATTTGCTTGGTATTGGATCAATACCAAAATTTGTAGTGTGGCACAGTGACAATGAAGGAAAGTGTGTTCAAATAGCATCAATTAACACACAAATTTAGTTTTTTTATTTCTATTTAATTCTTCATAATTAAACAATAAGAATAAGTAGCCTGACATCCTGTAATCAGTATGAAGCTATAATTTGATGAAGCTAAAATACAATAACACATTAAGTTTTTGTACAAAGTATCAACATCGGATCGGTAACGTCCATACCGCCCTGAATTTGACTTGGTGTCTGATCAGAAAGGAAATCGGTGGTATTGCACATTACAATCTCAGAGGAGATGCCGCCTGCTGGTCAAGGGATTTCTGCACAGGCAGACCCATCCATGTTTTGTATTTACAGTCTGTGGTTATACTGCATCTGTTATTTTCTATTGTTAACTATCATAATTGCTGATGTACACAAGCGAAAGATACCCTGCTGGATCCCGGGAGGAGACACAAATCCCTTGGCGGGTTGCATCTGGCATAAAAAAATCTGCCAAATCAAATATGCGGCGCTACCTGCTGTGTTGATCCCTTGTGAATAACGGAAAAACTGAAAGTAGCTTTCTTTATTTTAGAGTGGAGAAAAGCAAACAAGCACATTTTCTCATGTACTGAACTTAAGCACAATTTTTGAAACCTTTACTTGAGAATTAAAAATTTTGTACTTCTTTACGGTAGAATGCTGGACTCGCTCTAAATGGCCTTTTCTCTCTATCTACAATGTTTAGTTATTAGTTACAAATTACAGATCTTATATTTGAGTGAATAATTATTTCATGTCACACTGATAGTGAATTTAAAACCTTTATTTTGACAGATCAGCATCAGTTATTACTTTCTAGCATCCATCAGACTGAATACATCCCAACACTAAGGAGTCTGATTTTCCTGCTTCATTGCGCAAAAACTGAAGGCAGAGCTGATGTTTGTTGTACGGCATTAGCGTCTGTGCTTTGATTTTTAATCCTGATTAAACTAAACTCACACCAATAAAATAAACATGAAAACCTCTGTGGCGTGCATTTTAAATAAATGATCTTTAACAATGTATATCACAAATAATTTATAGTTAAAGAGATTTTCATTCATACAGTCCATTAGGTTGCAGTCAATTCTGCCCCCTGCTGGAAAAACACGCAAGTACAAGAAAGATGCTGTTTAAGCTCCTTTACTGGGCGTCTTGGACAGTGTTGTGTCCAGCCCAGATGTCTATACAAATCTGTGAGGGTTACTTCAATAAATCCATTACTGTAAGCAGGCCTCAGTAAAAATATTCAGCAAAGCCATCTTTGCATATGTGGACATGTGCAGCGTCCACCTGTGGAGACCTGCTCTGTATTACAGTCTGCTGCAGAGGCACTGAGGTTCAGGCTGCTGCCCCCTTCAGCCGCTCCCTCCTTGCTGCTTCTTCTCGGTCAGATCATCGATCTGCTTCTGCCGCCTCTCCAGGACCTCCAACCTCTTGGCATCGTTACGCGCTCGCTCCTGAGCCCTGAGTTCAACGACGTCCTCAAAAAACCTGTGTCTGCGCAACAGAGGAAGTACCGAATGAAAACAAATGACAAGTGAGAATTAATTAGAGAACCAGAAAAGATTAATGGTAAGATTACAACCTTTCTTCTAATGTGACGTAGGTGGTTCAGTGTGAAAAAACAGATTTTGATTTTACTTTCACGGAAAAATATTAAACTATAGCTTTACCAAAGAAAATGTTTTGGATATTCACTTTCTCTGTTTTGTTTCAATTAGTCTCCAGAGTGTGTATGGAAACCTACTCTGTTTCCATTTTTCTAACAATAAAAAAAACCCCAAAACAAGCAGTTGTCCACTGTAACTAAATATTCATCTTTTCTTTCTCTTTTGTTGAATTTTGACCAAAGAATGATTTCGGTGATTTCAATAGTTTCAGGAGTTTCAATAATGAGGTTATTTTAGGGCTCCTTCAAAGCTTTTAGGGATGTCAATTAAAAAGACACAACCAGCTGTGCCACAATGTCCAGTCTGTACAACACAGCACTGAACAGTAAAGATTTCTCTTTGGACTTTTGGTCAGACAAAACACAGCTGTTCAATTTGCAGAGCTTCTCTAGTGTGCTGTAAAGTCTCTAGTGCACTAACAGCACGAACGAGTTAGTGGGACTAAAAGTTAATGAAAAAACCTTTGAAATTAATTGTATTAACAGGGCTTTTCTAGAGGTCTTAAAAACAACATCTGCAAATTCAATACCTTTAACATGATTTAAATATGATTAAAGGCATTTTAGATACAGCCAGGCAGGCGGTTAGAGCCCATCTCAGCTGTTACAGAGCAGGTTATCAGTCTGCTGCAGGCCCAACACAGATTGTTCCCGCTGTTAAAGCTGGCTTACAGACAGGCTTACCAGAAATCATGCACAAAGAGCAATACAAAAACAACAAGCAGAATAAATCTGCATTCAAAATACACCAAATATACAAAATCATAAGGAAATATATCACATAAACTGATTTTATAACGCTCCTGCACAGGGGACAGAGCAGCTCCAGGTCCTGTTACACCTTACTCGTGGCGTTGTCGGCATTTCTGACAATAATTTTGCTTAATGAGACCTCGTAATAACCTTGAAGCAAATCTTCATAGCTGGGAAACGGGAACTAGAAATGTATTTGTCAGTCAGGGAGCCCATGGACATCACCACATACTGAGTTTCCTCGCTCGCAAATGCTCCACCAGACTCTCTGAAATGTATTCTTCTCTTTTTTCCCCCCTTGGGAATGTGTCTTTTTTTCTTTCAGATTTTGGTATTTATTATCTTGGAACTTTGCTCATTTTTTCTTGGAAACATAATGAACTAAATTTAAATTTATCCTTTGCTAATTTCTTTGAAATATGTTCATTTTCTTCTTTAAAATGTCCTATTTTTTTTCTAATAAGTTTACCTTTTTTGATTTTGTAATTTAATACGTCTGAACTTTGCTCATTGCTACCTCAGGAATTTGACATTCATAAAGTATGTATGTATGTATGTATGTATGTATGTATGTATGTATGTATGTATGTATGTATAGCATGTTACTGCCTTATAAATTTGCTCCTTTTTTCAAATAAGTTTGTCCTTGTTTCTCATTATTGTTCCATTATTTCTGGTAAAAAAAAAAAAATCTGATCGTTTGCCATTTTAAAACAATAAACTAGCTATTTATTTTTCATTTTTTCTCCTAAGTTTAAATGCTTTCTCCATGTAAATTTGCCCATTTCTTTCATCAAAAATTTGCTTTTTTTTTGTAAATTATCCATTTTTCTCGTAAGTCCGCCGAATTTCTAAAATTTTGAGCTTTTTCTCTTTGACTTCCAAAGGACTGCAGAATGGGCCTAATACGCAGTCGTACTGCTTCCCCTGCAGTACCTTTTAACAGCGAAGTCGTGCTGCTTTTATAATCTTCACTTCTGATCGGCTCTTTCGGAGCTGCATGTTTATTAATAAGGTGTGCAGTAAACACTTGCATGTGCAAATGTCACGCACAACATGCCTGTTACGTACAGGTGGCTGAGCTGTAAACACGCTTTAACGTTACCTGTTAATGAAAGCAGCAGCGAGTCCAACGATGATCGTCCCGAACAGGATCGGTTTGGCGAGCCGTTTCCCGGCTGACAGTTTGTGCTGCTTCATTTTCGTGGCTTTATTTTGAACTTTAAACACTGACCTTCCCCTACAGTTGGCTGAGGTGCTGTACACACCCCCTTCGTGTCCCACAGTTATTAGGAACTTCCGGTACCACGTGACACTAGCTTCCGCTTGACAGTATTTCTATTTTGTGTCATGTTGTGTGAGGGAGTATTAGGGCCACATTAACAAAAAACTATGATAGAAGACCTTTAACTGCGTATGAAAAATGTAAATTAGATTTGATTCTGTGTAAGCGCGGCTTGACCGTATGCTATCAGATCGAAACTGATTTTAAAACAAAAACTATTAAACGGAACCTTCGTCTTATCCACGCAGCTACACGGAGGCATTTCATGGTCAGACCGCGCCGGGAACGAACTGAAAAGAATAAAGCGGAGAGCGGAGCTGGTAGTGGATTATGTGGAGGAGCGGCTCGTCCGGAGGCTCTGACCGCTTTGAGTATTTACAAACTCTGGTCACCGAGTTTCAGGACACCGACAGCGACGGTGGGAACAGCTGTGTTTGGATTCAACTTTAAACTCACTACTCTGCTTTCTTCTGTTATCTTTTTTCCAATCTTGCCTTTTCGTCTTTCTGCTCCAACTCAAGATCCACAAGACAATAATATGAATCATAAAATAAAGTAAATAGAACAAAAACATAAAAAATAGGTGCCTACAGAAAGCCTAGGTGCTCCTCTTTGGAGACGTACGTCATCAAATAATTATTCAAAATTTGAAATTATTAAATACACATTTATTAAATTGAAATAATTCGTTTTATTTAAAATATATGTCAGTTGTTATTATTTCATAGTTCTGGGCTTCAACACGTCATGAATTTATTTCTACTGTCAACCTCACCTGTCAAAGTCAGGGGCGGGGCTAATGCTGATCTGGTCAGTATCTTTACCTTTTCGGGAGTCGATTATTTCGGTGGGTGTTTCTCAATAGCAAGTACGCTAAGGAGTCCAGCCGTTCAGCTTCAGAAAATGAATTATTAATTCAATGAGTGTAGCACATTAGCAGTGCGCAGGCAATCCGGGCATGAACTGCAGCATTATCTGGGATCAATCGTCTTAACTTGCTGTGCAGGGTAACCAATCAGATTTTAAGGTCTGTTGACCAGCCACAAATAATTTGAAATGAATATTTGAATGAATTAATTAGACTTTTAACTAAATATTTGCCTATTTAATCTTGGCACTCCATAGTTCTCATTTTATGTGATTACATACATTACATGTGATGATTTTTTTTCCTCCTCAGAGGCAAAGGAACAAGTTCTGGCTAATTTGGCCAATTTTGCATACGATCCAAAGAACGTGGAGTATCTGAGAGAGCTGCAGGTGACTGACCTCTTCTTGGACATGCTGACTGAGGAGAATGAGAACTTTGTGGAGTTTGGGATGGGTGGGTGTCACAGTGACATCTCCTTCATTGTCTGCAGCAACTGTCAAGCCTTTATCTCTGATTTTGTCTCTCGTGATCTCAGGAGGGCTCTGTAACCTCAGCATGGACCCTGAGTGCAGAGATGTCGTCCTGCAGAGCGACGGCATCCGCTTAGTCACAAACTGCTTGTCGAGCCAGAGGGAAGAGACTGTCCTGTCAGCCATCACCACCCTCGTGAACCTCCTAACACCCACGTCACGCTCTCAGATCACCGATCCCGCCATCCTGCAGTGCATGCTGCGCTTCTCCCTCTCCGAGAGCCCGCGTCTGCGCAACCTGGCTACCGTGTTTCTGCAGGACTCCTGCAGCGAGGAGCAGGTGGCGCAGGCGCAGCAGCAGATGGAGGGGCAGCAGACGGCAGTCGGCATCCCGCTGCCCAAAGACTAAAGACACAGCACAGACCTTTATCTTTTTATAAGTTTGCTCTCTCTGTGATTCACTCTCTGTGAGAGCGTCACAGATGTTTCACCCGCTGGAGCCAAAATTTGAAATGTTGTTCAAAAAAAAATAAAAACATTTTGGACATCCGCTGGTAAGAAGTAATGGATTCACTTGACAAAAATTATGCTGCTTTTTTGGAATTAATAAAGTAATTCTCTCATTAACTGTGAGTAAACCTTTCATTATGAAAAGTTTACTCCCAGTTTGAGGTCTTTAAGGCATCAACAAGATACCTTAAAATACCAAAACAGCAGTCACATGATGGCTGCCCCTCTGTGAGCCTGGTTTCTTCAGGTTTCTTTCTCTTTAAAGGGAGTTCTTTCTTCCTGCTGTCACCAGGTGTTTGGTCAGAGGCAGCAGTTTGATTGTTAGGGTTTTCTCTGCATTACTGTAAGGTCTTGCAGTATTAAATGTCTTGAGGTGACTATTGTTGTGATTTTGTGCTATTTAAGTAAATCTGGATTAAAATGAAAGCGTGTGGTTAAATTTGACTTCATGTCTGAAGCGCTGTCAGTGGTCAGTAAGATCAGGAAATTATTCTTCTTCCCACTTCTCCCTCTGGGGGGTCATCTGCCTCCATCTCATCTAGCTTTGTATTCTAAACACTCAACCTAAGCTCTGTTGAAATGCACATACATTATATCATACGTTTTAAATCAAAAGCCTGACATCACTGCACTCATCACATATTCTTTCAAGTCTTTTGCTACATCCAGAAATACATAAAACTCCACCTTTGCTACTTGAAATGCTATTGTCCCTCTTAACCATCGTCTTGTATACTAAACCAAGAATAGACTTAACTAATAACATGTTATTTCTTTGCTTAACATGTGACATCAAAGAATATCTCAGTATTTGTCTGTTACTGGCTTATGTTCGGATCTTGTGTTTTATCTCCTGGAAGGCGGTGAAAATACCAAGATGATGCATCATTTATATACAGTTAGGTCCACCAAAACGTAAGTACACCACTTCAGATTGATTCTAAATCTGTCATCTACTTGAAATAACAAGGGAGGAGGATTAAATTGTCTTCTCAATCTAAAATTGCCTGACTTTGTATAATAATGGCTTGCATTTTTCTAATCTAACAGTCATTGACTGGAAGAGATAAGTCACCAGATCAGCTTTCTGGATTTAGTGCATAAATGTGCACCACATGCGAGCCAACACAACCTTCCCCACTAAAATAGTTTTCAGGTTTGAAACTACCACGTAGACATGGCCTGAAGGTTGCATGTCGTTTGCAAATTGTTCCTCTTTAAATATCACATTATGTGTAGAGGGAAAAAAAAATCCAAGCATGGTTTTGTGTACGTATTTATACATCAGGCCCCAGATGTTGAACCTGCTCCGACTCCTCCAGAGGTTCTGGATGTGGTTGAGGTTCAGAGATCGGTGCAGTTCTTCCACACCAAAGTGGGGACAAGCATTTCTTTATTGAGGCGTTGTCATTTTGAAGCAGGAAAAAGACAAACCTAACTCAATGCCACAAGAACGCAAGTGATGTTTTTCCTCATCCAAAATAAATTTGCTCAACAAATTTTTGGCCTTTTTGTGTGCTTTTTCCTGCCACATGAGGGAGTCCAAGATACTTTTGTATGCATTGCTCCACCAATGCATTCACCTCTTGGGAGAACAGTTTGGTTATTAGTATCACCTGTAATAACCTCCCAGTCAAAGGAATGCATGGTGACAATTTGAAAACAAAAGTCTCGAGTCTAAAAGGAGAACAAACTCACTCTTTGTCTCAAATCCCATTTTTCCTCCTTGAAATGTGCATTCCTTTGCCTTTCCCTGTTAAAACCACCTCCTGTACTTGGCGCATGGTAGGAATACCATGTCCTGAAACATTTAATCCAAACCCAAAATATGTTAAATAAAAAATGCTAAATAAACCTTGAGGTTCTCTCTTAAGAGCCAGGAGCACAGTTTGTTTTCATTTGGGCTCTTAAGGGCTATTTCTGGGCCGAGTCCTTCAGGTCTAGACAGGAGATGACATCCGATCCAGCAGCCCAGCGTCAGGTGAACTGCACATGTAGCCTGGTCAGGAAATTCTTTACAGCTCTGAACAATGCTCACTCACTTTAAAGCTCATATTTTTTAAAGTGGAACATGTGTGCATATTTCTGAATGGCAGGCTTAAGAGGCCTGCACCTGCCATCGAGGACAATAAAAAACAAAAAAAGAAACCAAAAAAAACCCCCTTCATTCTTTCCGTAACAAGAGGAACCTGCATGCCTGGTTTTAATAATTTGTAAAAAGGTTTATTTCAAGTTCATATAATGAAGATTTTTGTTTTTATAAATTTTTAAAAATCATTAAAAAAAACATTTTAAAAACCTTACAACCTTTGTCCTGCCTATACAGACAAAAGCACTTAAAAAGGGCCCTTACAAGTAAATAGTGTTTCTATATGGGACTATTTTCTGCAGCAGGTACAGGATACTGTTTTGGGGGGGGGTTACATTGTCCCTGTAACCACTCGTTACAAGATCTTGAGGCGTTTTCTGTTGGCCAGTTCTGACAATCCCAATTTGTATCTTTGGTATCTGATATACGCACACGTATTAATTAAATTCCCTCTGTACAGTTTGTAGCTTTTCATTTTCACTCCTTCAGTTGCTTCTCCACCTGTTCACTCAGTTTCTTCTTTTGGATCTGAAAGACAAAAAGAAGAATGACACGAATCAACAACAACTTTTTGCAGGAGCACTAAATGGACAAATCTGCAGCGTCAAAGTATATGAATATATAAAAACCTATTAGTAAATGGGGCCGAGTGTTTTATTGTGTGCTGGTGATTCCATTTAATTCGTAAGAAATCAGAACGCAAATTAAAATCTGTCACTTACTGGGGTCAATACAATAAATAATTATTTTAAATCAATCTAAGAGTCTTTCATAACAGCTTTGAGCACTCAGATGTCAAATGCATCTCTGTGAAAATTGCCAAAACTACAAGTGAATCTAATTCGATTACTTCCTCTAATGACCACTTAAGGCTGCCTCCAAAAGTGAGTCAGTCCTCACAGACTTCCATGTTACATGTTACAATTTTACAGCATAAATAAACATGTTTACAAGCCTGGTCTGACCTCTATGGATAATTTCCCACCTCGTAACAACTCATCCAACAACTAGATAGTGAAGTTTTTGGTGTGTCAGCTTGGATTACAAGTGCCAGTTTTACTAAATTGGACAAAACAACATGTGAATGCAAACCCCAAATAGCGCTAATGGGTGTGGTTAGTTTTACGGGTGATTTACAGAAGTTGTGCAGTTTTCTAAAAATAAAAAAATAAGACGTGCTCTTTCTCTGCGTTAAATGTTGGCAGAATTAGTGCTAAATAGCGTGTGGTAAACGTAAATCAGTGTGCACACTTGATTTAATTATACCCCATATTTTATGCCTCAAGACAGGAACTCCCAGAAATACACATGAAAGGATCAGTCTCTTACATGCAACTTGTCACTCTGCTCTCTACGTAAATACCAACAGTATTTTTTTTTCTTAAATGGCAAAAATCAGTTTAAACCGACACAATGCATTAGCTACATCAGAGCAGAATATACAAACTACTGACGTCACCCTTGTGGTCAGATTTACCCCAGTTTGTGAACTCTTAGCATTTTCCTGTGGTTTGGCTTCTTTTCTTTTCACACAGAAATCTCCAAGCAAACCAAAAATGCACCAGTAACTTTCATATTTATCTGAGTGACGTTCATTTTTAGAGCTCAACTAAAATATTCCACGATAAATAAAATTTAAAATTAAACAAACGACAAGAGAAACACCATTCAATCAACGTTGCATTGATGTCGCATACTCTGTCCATCAGAGGGCATTCTGCAACTTCCCACATGTGTTTGAATGCCACAAACAATCACCCGCTGATCTGAGCAGACACAAATGAGTAGTTACAATTATAACACGAACGCAGAACATTTTTTGCATTTTTCTGAAAGTTTTATCATATCGTACTTGCTCCGTTTAGAAGGAATCTCAAATCAAGGTTTTGGTTTTATCTGATCTGATGGTCCAGGTCGAGTACGGCCTGCCAGCCCTCTGGGATTCATCTAACAGGCCATAGTGTACGTGCAGACGAGCTAATAGCTTCCCGTCCCTCCTGTCTGAGAGCATTCAGGGCAGGCCTGTTCAAACACAGGGCCAAGTCTACAGTAAATGATATTAAATAGCATCCCACGAGAGAAACACAAGAACCAGAGGGGAGTTTGTGTTTTCATCCTGGATTTCTCCTTCCCCTAAATTATTGCAGACTGTTACAGCAGCTGCTAAATACAGATGTTTTTCACTCAGGATGAATGACATTTTATTAAACCTGCTGATTAATTTATGTCATTTGTAAGAATCCTGGAAGAAATTCCTGCTTTTTATGAACTCGGTAGAGGAGCCAGGACTGAGGAAATTACCTTTCCAGTGATCGTGAGTGGGTAGCTGGTTACAAAAAGTACGTAACGAGGAATCTTGAAGTGGGAGATCTGAAAGGAGCAAATGAACAGCGCTCATTATGGTGCAACACAATTCCAGCTCATTATGAAATATAAGACGGGAACTGTGCCCCACCTGTCCCTTGCAGTAAGCTTTGATTTCTTCTGCAGTGCAGTCTGCTCCATCCACCAGTTTGATGCAGGCACAGATCTCCTCACCCATACGCTCATCTTTAACTCCCACCACCTGAAAAACAGCAGGAAACGAGGAACATTTAGAATCACACAGCAAACAGTCAGCAGTACAAAATCTTAAATATCTGAACAGAACTTTGGACATTCAAACGCTGCACACGAAGATTGAAACTAAGACAAATACAGAGGATTAGACATCACATGAAGGGCCAAAAGATTAAGCCAAGTCAAGACACTCTTTAAGGGGTTAATATAATAAAAAAAAATTTAAAGGAAAAAAACAAATATTTTAAATGTTAACATTTTCTTAAAATGTTCTTGGGGGTGTCCTAACTGAAAACCTGGCAAAGTCTGGAGGCCGCTTTGCATGTTCCACTGACTCTATGGTTTTCGTGCAACTTTAAACGTGTTCTTTATAACACTTTTTTTTTTAAAATCTAAATCACATGTGTGCTCTCATTCTTGTTGGCTTTTAACTGAAACTGGAATGCGAAAAACTCCCCACCAAATTAAAAAGGTGAAAGTGCATTCTTGACCGCTGGATTAAAATCCACTGAGGTGGTGTACAGAGACTAAACTTGTGTCTTTCCAACAATTATGCACCTAGCCACATCGATGGGGGGAGTGGTGTGTTGGAGGGGTCACCCTGCCTTTTGGACTTGTAAGTAATGCACAATAGGCGTTAAGAAAAGTTAAGAAATTCAGACTGATGACACACAATATCAAGCCACACTCTTAACACAGTTTTAACAAGACTTGTTCTGAAGTGTGGAAGCAGCAATGTTCAGTAAAATTTAATTTCTGCTGTAGCAATCTTAGTGAA